ATCACAAGTGATATGTTACATAAACTAGTCATCCAGAGTTAAAATACAGGGCATTTCATCTTCATGCAACAAAACACAACTTGCCACTTAGGAAATACATGCTATCCAACATCCTGAGCTGCTTTGCTTCCAGCACATACTCTTTACCCTATCAATATACAACAACATTCAGTTAAAGAAGTACAGATTAAAATACAAAAAAACAGGATCAGACAACCTCTATAAAGGCCAGAAAGGCTTTGCCAGGCTATTATGATAACTGGGTAATTAGGGTAGATCAGATCTTTCTCCTTGTTCACACAAAATAGGGAGCATTTCTAGCATTTAAATCCACCAGCCAAGTAAATCAGGCCCTGATCAATCAATGTATTTGGTTGTTTTTCCCAGCTGACCTACACATTATTAATCTGGGTTATTCACAGAACAGAGATCTGGCATAAAGCCTATGCTATATGATATAGGACATTATGGCACTCCAAGCATGAAACGAGCAGCAGTGCAGAAAACAGAACTAAGCAAAGGGACAGAGCCTTGAGAACATAACAGATGACAAAATGAGAAGGGACCAGCTTATCAACATAAATTAATATTTCCCAGTGAGCTATACTTCACCAAAATACAAGTTCACTGACAGTGACAGAAACTAGTTCTTTCCTGCAAGAAGGTCCTGACCAGCAAGTCTGTAATCTTTCTTCCTTCCTCCCCCATTAGAAGAATATATATATTTTTTAAGTTAATAAACTTTAATAATTATTACTGGTAATAAATTCACTGTTGGTGGTGGCACTATATTTATCTTACAATAGCTCTCTAGCTGGTGTAACTCCTATGAGGATAAAGTATAAGCAACAAGAATTAAAAAGTGCTTGGTTAAGTCAGTTTTACGTGCACAGGCACAAACTTTTATTAGCAGCTCTCAGGGCTGACTAAAACACAAAAGGTATAAAAACCAATGTGCAAAGCTATCCGCAAAGATGTTGGCAACCTACAGCACTTGTTGAACACATTAACAGAATCAAAGAACAATAGAATAGAATCAAAGAACAATAGAATGGCTTGGGTTGGAAGGGACTCCGAGAGTTGTCAAGTTCTAACCCACCTGCCACAGGCAGAAGTTAATGATGCAAACCTATCTGGTCACAGAGTTTTGAAAAATGTATTAGAGTTTTTAGAATTCCTTTGTGAATGCAAACTGTTCTGTAACTGAATAATTGAAAGCTAGCTTCCTGTTCAGTTTTATCTTTCATCCAAAAACTCTTACCCAAATTCTGCTCTTTGCCACTGTTACAGCTATCCGGCCACCCTACAGCAACTTCGGAGCTAACAACAGCAACAACTCCTCTCCCTCCAGATACACAACTTACCTGCATGCCAACCCCCTTCTTCTCTAAACAAGTCACCTCATACACAGCAAAAAAAAGCTATTCCAGAAAAACAAAACAAAGCGAAACAATAAAACAACACAAAACCTTTCTACGTGGCTTACTGTCCCAAAAGCCAGGCTAACGAGAGGGATGTGCACACAAAACCACTGCAGAGACATCTCACAGATTCCACATCAACAAAGAGTTGTTCATTTTCCATGTCATGCAATACTTAGAAAAATTAATAGGACTTTAATTTAGATGTGGTTTGAAATATACGACTTGCAAGCATGAATCAGATATTAGAATCATTTGCAAACCCGAATCCATCACAGAGTTAGAAATACTCAGCATACTTTAACCATGCAAATGTGCATGCTAAATAACAATGAATTACTATTAATAATGAAGCAATATTAACAGCTCTCTGTGGAAAAGCTGTTGCACTTGAACCTAGAGCTGAGATATGAAAATTCAGTGGAAGTCTCTAATGAAGAGTGGACTGCCAAGTGAACTGGAAAAAGTAAAATCATTCTCAGATGTCAGTCAGAAAACAGCTCACACAGTTCTCTTACCAAGAGCTTTCCGAGGCAGTTTAAGTCTAATACTCCCCTATCTTCCACAGACCATCCATGAATGTCAAAGTACTCCTGTAAACTCATGGATTGAGTTTCCTTCACTGTCTCCAGTACATAATTTGTTCATTAAATGCAAATTAAAAAAAAAAAAACAAAATTACCCACATAAACAAACAAAAAAAACCACCGCCCTTTTGTTGTAATAAAGTTCTTCCCTCCACATTCCTTTAGTATTTAAGTATATGAACTCTGTAAAAATCATATGAAGGTATTTTGCAAAATTTAAATCTACGTTTCCTTCTGTCTGCCAAGACATTTTAAAAATTATGTTTTTTTTTTTATGTTGTCTCTTTTTGTGACAGTGCAGCACGTTTTCAAACTTTGTAACATTTGCTTACTTCCCCATTCCTATTACCTAGTCTCTAATCTGCATTACGTAGTCATTTAAAACGATGCAGCTCTCCTTTCACTTTCACCTAGCTATCATAATTTATGGTGAATATCATGTGTGAGCTATCTAAAGTTTTTTACTTTGATCACAAGAGACAAAGTAACGAATATGAATAAAATGAAGGCAGAAGTAATTCTGCCGACAAATCAGCAAACTGCTGGGTACCTGGCTATGCACTGTAACATTTTCATCATCCGTTATCAAAAGATCTTTATGCGCATACCCATATTTATATTTGCATTAGTTAAGAAAATAAAAAGCTGCAATGTTTTTATCTTTAACACCCCTTTAAAGTTCCTACTTTTTCTCATCTACTGAAGTTCTAACAAGGACTGTCTCTTGGTAACAGTTTCTTCTTAAACTGTTGTGAAAAGGGTAAGTTTGTTTAGTAGAAAACCCCAGAGAAAAACACAGACTTTTAAATCTCTACAGTTAAAATAACAGCACTACTGAAAAACCTCATTCTCACTTCCAACTGTCTACAAAGTATGTTTAGGTTCCTGGTACAAAACTCTTTAAAATACTAAGCTTTAAAACAGGTATAAATCATAAGTGATAATTAAGTGATAACCCATACGCTACAACTCATTTTGTAAAAGCAAGTAGTAGCATTTTGACATAAAGTCTCAATAAGGTATTACAAAATTGGATACAGATTTATCACCATACCATTTCAACACTGCACTTAACTTTGCTTGCTATGCTTCTGCATGTTTGTACAGCAATTGAACATGATATATTTCACCAATAGGAAAAAGAATAGCAGTACATTAGGAACTTATTCAAACACTTTTTAAAAAGATTTTGTTATGAACTGGAATTAGAGAGTTGGGAAGGTGTATCAGACTTTTTTCAACACAAAACATCTGTACTATGTGTCTTCATAAGGTTAAAAAAAAGCACAAGAACCCTTTGATATGGCCTCATTTAAGATACAGTTTAAGTTGTAACAAATACAAGAAATAAACATAGTAAAGATACCAAAATGATTCTATGTATCTTGAAGTTCAAAGTTTTTTGATTCAGATAGTTGAAATATTAGTGCATTTTCCTTGCACGTTAAAAAAACTTCCCAAAACACAACTATGCTAACAACTCTGCTCAAACTCAAAACTGGCAACCATTCAAGAATGTATTTCTAATGTGCGTTTTAATAATAGCAACAAGAGATGAGCAAAGTTTCTCCTCACAGCACAATAGTTCCAGGCCTAACTCCATTCAAACCTTCTTAGTAGGTTTCTTTCAGATTTTCAAACCAGACACTATGACAGGCAATTCCATGCTGTATAAATCATTTCTAATTGAAAACAGTTCCACTGAGAAGATAAGATCATACAACCTGAAATGAGGAAGACTTAAAAGATTTCTTTAATTTTTATAGGAATTGATATTATAGAGATATAATATCTATATATGAAAAGAGATAGAAAATTCCTGATCAATAGCATTAATACTTGTTCTAGTAACTGGGAAGTAGAAGCTTTCTAAAATACACATTTTAAAGCATATAACAAACAGTCAGTAAGACCTGCCTTAGAGAAATGCTACAGTATTACCATAAGGAGCAAGAATAGACTCAATAGCTACTCTCTCAGAATCAGAAGTGTCATAGAGCCAACTTGAAGACCTCCCTGCAAGTTATTTCCCTGCTATAAACTTCATCTTGTTTACTGAGGGGCTTCTTATAGTAACAAGTCAGAAATCTGTTGCTATGAAGCTCCTAGCTGAGACAAACCTTTCAGATCAGCACAGAGCACGGTTTGTTCTCCTTTGCTATGTATCAGTCTATTCAGAACAAGGCTCACATACACATTAGAAACTGATGTTTCAGTAGAAACCAACTCCCCAAAAAATCAAAACCAAACAGAATAACAAGTCAAAGCACTTCATGATTAATGTCCAAAAAAATAAAATAAAATAAAATAAATAAACAATACATGAATTTGAAAAAATAAATTACTTCCAAATTCTATAACATAGTCATGTATGACTTTTACTTAAGAAACCGTTGAATTTCATACACAGAACTTTACAGCATCCCATTCTTGTACTGCATTCAAGTAATGATGTCTACATTCATTAGATGATGTAATTTTTCCTTAATTTTGCCATACAGAGATGCCATGAGCTTTGATTAACAATTTGGAGACAATTTTTTACATTCTAATCAAAACTGTCTCATTTCTCTGTATGATACTTTGTACCAAAATATGAAGCTTACTAACTCAGTGAAATTACAGGATTGGAGTCTAATGAACTACATCCAAACTGGCTAAAGTTAAAGGTTTTCTGAGTGAAAACCAAGATTAAGGGAAAAAAAGGTTCAAACCCTAATAATTCACAGTATTTCAGAAAGAATTTATTCAAAATACCATATCAATAAAGATGAATGAACAGTCAATCTCTTTTCACCATTGAGGCAAAAAAAGCAAGATTATATCAAATTAAAAACAAGTTGTCTCCCCCCCCCCCCCCCATAGGAACATCACACATTAGTTCAGGAAAGCACTTCAGCAATTATTTTTTCCTCAGTTTTTCCTTAAACTTTCATTTCAACAGGAACCACGTTTCATAAAAAATTTCCAAACAAAACCATTTGGGCCTTACCTCTGTCACTGAAGTCGTCCACAAGAATGATTTCTGCAATCAGGCTGTCTGGAGTGCGGTTGATAATACTGTGTATTGTTCGCAAGAGGGAAGTCCAGCCTTCATTATGAAATGGGATAATTATGCTGGTATTTGGTAGCTTTTCCAAGTACACCTTGTGCTTACAGCTAGAGAGAGAGAAGAAAACAGCTGTGTAAGCGCAAGAAAAGTCTGCCTTGGCATTTACTGCCAACAATTTTGGCCTCTCAGCTGACATATTCACAACACAAATTAACAGTATCCACAAGTACAAATCCAGCTTCCCATCTAGATATCCAAAACAATCCTAAAAGCTGTGCATATAGCAGCAGCAACACATTCTGAAGGTGCTAACTGACAAAAATAGCAAAATGTAAACTACACTGACATCTTAACTGAACAGTATCTAACTTAGAAACAGTGCTTAAACTTATGTTTTCAATCGTAACTAGTTTTCGTGTGTGTATGCAAAGAATCCCCTTATTCTTGAAAGGCAAATAACGGTCTTGCAATTCAGTTTCTCCTAATATCTGAAAAACACTTCAAGAATAATGCTTAGTAACTGAAATGGATAAATCATTATCTTTTGCATTAAAAAAAAAAAAAAAAAGAAGGAGGAAAGGGACACGTTCTACCAACAGCACAGCACTGCATTGTCAGACACATCCAATGTGGACAATGAAACTGAATGATTACTCCTTCTCCAAGAAAAAATTACACTCTGACCAAGGTATCCATACAAACACACACAAACTGCTTTGTGATAAAATGACAACAAAAAGTGGACAAAACCTTTGACTTCCCACTTACAAGTACAAACATCAGTGTTTTTTAGAAAAAATAACTTCATACCAAATACTGCAATAGGTTATAATGTTGAATTACATTTATTTGCAGCCAGTTTGGCATTTCTAGTTTACAAGTGTTACTTGAAAATCATTATTTAAATGTTTTCCTAAAAATAATATTTAAATTTGTCAGCCATTTCTTCCTAGACCACGGAAACAATGAAATTAATGACTATCCATTTGCATAAATAACTTAATGGAAATATTTCAGTAAGCAATTTGCTGGGAGAACATACACACACACCACAAAAAGTACAGCTATTCTGCAAGAGCATGTAAAAATTCTTCTACTTAGCTGTAGGATGGAGTAAAACAAAGGGAACCAATTACATATACCGGAGTCAGCTGACAAATCAAGAAAACCACTGATCAAAGCCAACCACTACTGTTAATATCGGATTAAAACACATATATCTTATGCTTTTCCAGAAAGCAAGATTTTCCCTGTAGTATTTTTAGCTCCCACTAGGTAGGTTTCTAAAATTCAAAAGTTCATCATCTCATTTGGAGGAGAAAAAACAACCAAAAACAAACCAAAAACAAACCCACAACAATGAATACTCAAACCCCAGAATGCTTTTTCTTTCTAAAAAATATGTTCTTTCTAAAGGGGAACCCAATTCTTAGCTATCTTGCAAATCATAACACTTGTGCACATGTATTCTGGTCACCAGCCTCAACTTGAATGTGTTGCAATTTTCAATGAATACACAGTGCTAAGTGTTTTTCCAACTTAAGTGACAGAATAGCGAAAGTCAGTGTGTTCTTTGGATATGCTTAAATGTGGGATACTAGGAAATCCAAAAAGGAAATCATAAGATCAACTTCACAAAAGGATGGTAGATTTAAAAAGGCAGGCAGTTCAGCCAGACAGTTTCAATCAAATCAAGATTTGCTCGAAGAACTAATTCAATACAGAAAAGTTTATTAACATAGTTGATGTGAATCAACATTACTTAATACTCTCTCTTTCATGAACAGATCACACAGGCAAATGCATTAATTGAAAGCTCCAGTGTCACATCACTGTCTGATTAAAAAATTAAAAAGACAAAAATCAGTGTGGATTGAATAAAAATTGATTGCTAGATCTTCCAATTTTTTATTTTTATTTTTGTTGGGAAGGTATTTGCGATTTTTAGCTGGGTTCCACTGGGATCAGTTTTTGCCCTGGTAGTATTTTCAGTTGAATTAACAAGTAAAATTATTTGTGAGAACAAAGTGGATTTGAATGATGAATGAAGATGACGCCTGCAGCTTAATTTTGCATATGTTGTAAACCAGATCACTTGAATGAGATGTGTGTATATTTATACTAACATACAGACTCGGGAAAAAAAAAGCTCCCATGACATTTAATAAGTTTTCTGCCCTCGATTCCATAGACAAAATATTTGAAATCAGTGGATTTTTTTAATTATTATTATTTTTTTAATTTTTGCTTCAGCTTCCATTGTATTAAAATCATGATTGTGTTCTCAATAATCAGTCTTGGGTATGCATGTAAACTCAACATCATTACCCTTACTGACATAAGCATAACCATCCAAGATTAGCATTAGAGAACATTATTTGACTATTCTTCCATAATTTTCATTGTATTTTTCCGCGCCGTGCAAGTACTGTACAAGGGACATTATACAATTCCCTTGCTCAAATCTTCATAATTATGTAACTGCATTAACAATTTAGACTTGAGCAAACATTATACAGAAACGTGTGTGCATACAAGAAAAACTAATATGACAATGCAGTATAGCTCCACTGGCATCAAACTTGTGGATAAATCAGATGAAATGGTATTTTCAAGATTATCGCCACAAATAAAAAGTTATCAACCTTGAATTGCACTTTCAGATATTGCTCTTCTTGAGCAGTCTTGCCTTTCATTCCATAAACTTTTCTTCCAATTTATTTGAGCATTTAATTGGTATTTCTTACCAAATTTAACAACACAGTACTACCCTTTGTACTCTATGGACTTGCACGCGGGATGTTAAGAACTGAGGACACTAGGGCATGATTTGTTTCCAAACTAATTTTCAAAGCACTAAGGATTTCCTCTCTGGCCAAAATATCTTCCTCTTATTTTTAGCCCCCCTCCCCCTAATAATTGGACAATTTACTGTGTGCTGCTTTGGTGGAAAATAGGCTGGCCATGAGACAACAGTGTGCCCATGTGGCCAAGGTCAATGGCATCCTGCAATAAAAAGAGCATGGCCAGCAGGTTGAGGGAAGTGATTCGTCCCTCTCTCTGCTCTGCCCTAGTGAGGTCACATCTGTAATACCATGTTCTGTTCTGGGCTCCCCAGTTCAAAAAAGACAGGGATCTCCTAGAAGGAATCCAGAGGAGTGCCATAAAGATGATAAAGGGCCTGGAGCATCTCCTGTACGAGGAAAGGCTAAGTGACCTGGGTCTGTTCAGCCTATAGAAAAGACAACTGAAGGAGATCTGATTAATGTTTATAAATATCTAAAGGGAGGCAGGAGGCAAATGCATAAGGCCAGGCTCTCCTTGGTGGTGCATAGTGATATTACAAGGAGCAACGGCCTAAAACTTGAATATACAAAGCTCCGCATAAACATGTGGAAGAACTAGTGATGGTGCATTAGAACAGGTTGTCTAGAGAGGTTGTGGAGTCCCCTTCTATGGAGATATTCAAGATCCATCTGGATGCCTACTTGCACAACCCATCATAGAGTACCTTCTTCCACAGGGGGTTAGATGCAATGATCTTGAGGTCCCTTCAAATCCCTGCAATTCTATGACTCTGTAATGATACGCCACTTCAAGCATAGCTGCTGTAAGGACAGGTATCAGTAGATATGGTTGCCTTCAACCAGATGCAGAACACCAAAGAAAGGCAGGGTAACAATTCAGTAATAAAGAAGGAACAGCTTACTCCTTTCCAAGGATCCGGGCTCACCAAATACTCCACAGAAGGCTATCTCCTTGTAGAGAAATCATTCCCTTGTGGCTGCCACCCCTTAGATGAGGTAAGGGAAGGATGGACTCAGAGTCCACTCTTTCTAGTCACACAGGTGAACTGCTCACACCAGTGCTTACAGAGCTGGTCACATGCCTTCACCAGGTGCTTAATCATTGATTTAGGCTATGACCAAACTGTTCCCATATAGCTGTGTTTCAGCAACCCCAAAAATACTGTTGTTTTCCCAATGTTTTGAGAAATAGGAAAGAGCTACATAATACTGTTTATTATAAGGACCTAACACAAACATCAGCAGAAACTGGCAACTATGAAATCATGATTTATTTATTTAATAAAAAGTTATGGTAGAATTTATGAATAAATTATTTGTATAATAAAATCTTAAGCATACAGAACTGACAAACTGAACTCTCTACAGCCTGCTTATCTTAAACACCGTTCCTACATTATGTTATTATAGCTGGGCCATCACATGTTTTAACTCACTGTGAAACACTTAAAACTGACCTTGGGCAGAAACAAACAAGAGTCATCATTTCTTTTGAAGGCATAGAGATAGCTCTGTTTAATGCCCTGATGAGTTTTAGGTTAAAAAAAAATCCTACAATATTGTATATCTTAACTAAAGATGCAGAACCACAACATGTTGCATCTTTTCTGCTTCTCTGCTAACAGAAATGTACAGAGATCCACCAGCTGTGTAGAACAAATGAAAGAAAATGGGCTTCAAAAATGATCATAAAGGAGAGAGTGCTGGCATCATTTCAGTCACTTCACAGCAAAAGTTGATTCATAAAAGCAGCAATTTGTTTGACCCCATGGATAAAACAACTGCAATATTTTATGCACGTTAAAGGATGCCAATAACAATGTCTTGGCCAGCTACCAGGGTCTGTGCTTTCTAGACACAACTACCTTTTAAATTGCGCTTTCTGAAACATAATAGCATAGGAGAAGTTAAATGCCTTTCAGACATCCCACTGCTACATTTAGAAAGCAAGGCAGCAGCCTCCTACAGCAGTTACTTCATCATAAATGTAGACCACCTCCAATTTTCTCGTGTTATAGAAAGAGTAAGTTACAGCAAAATAGAATCAGCTTGCAACCTTTCTTCTACCAGCTCTGTCAGTACATGCTCTCTTAGCAGATCTGATATTTCCTTCTCATTCTTTAATGCAAGAAACTACAGCACGCAGTGGGCACCCAGCTGCTGACAAGCCCATGACAAAGCTACCTCAACACAACATTTTTCCAGTGAAGATTTACATAGTAATTGTCTTAGCACGTCAAAGTGTTCAATTTACAGCAACAAGCTTCAGTCACACCGTGTTTCTGTTCCAATCTAGCCTT